AATACACCAAACACATAAGGACTGGCTGTGGTACACTCCAAATGTACAAGTAGAGTATACATTACACTCCAACTGTACTAGGATAGAATACACCAAACACACAAGGGCTGGCTGTGGTACACTCCAAATGTACAAGTAGAGTATACATTACATTCCAACTGTACCAGGATCGAATACACCAAACACACAAGGACTGGCTATGGTACACTCCAAATGTACAAGTAGAGTATACATTACACTCCAACTGTACCAGAATAGAATACACCAAACACACAAAGACTGGCTATGGTACACTCCAACTGTACCAGGATAGAATACACCAAACACACAAGGACTGGCTGTGGTACACTCCAAATGTACAAGTAGAGTATACATTACACTCCAACTGTACTAGGATAGAATACACCAAACACACAAAAACTGGCTATGGTACACTCCAAATGTACAAGTAGAGAATACATTACACTCCAACTGTACCAGGATCGAATACACCAAACACACAAGGACTGGCTATGGTACACTCCAAGTATCCGAGAAAAAGGTTTGGTGCAAATATATAAAACTATTTACATATTTTTTGTCATGCATATATAATGAGCTGCTGCATAAAGGTGTAGTAAATCTTCAGCGTAAGCCAACGAGATGCTGGATTTAATGTACTATTTTAAATAATATCACAAATAAAGGTAACAATAACTAATGGTTATACATCAGATAAATATAAGGGCTAAAATTCAAAGAAAATTTGTGCATTTTAAACTTGTGCAGTGACTTCTTGCAGTTTTATAGAACTTGTGCTGCTCTTGATGTGCGATTTCTTGAGTTAACTGTCACAATTCTATATCTTGTGAATTGTGACAGTTAATGCTTGTAGCTAACCTTATTGCCTGGAAGGTAGCTACAAGCATTAACTGTCACAATTCTATAGTCTGGAGGTTAGCTACAAGCATTAACTGTCACACTTCTATATCCTGTAGGTTAGCTACAAGCATTAACTGTCACAATTCTATAGTCTGGAGGTTAGCTACAAGCATTAACTGTCACACTTCTATATCCTGTAGGTTAGCTACAAGCATTAACTTTACAAATCTCTACAGCTGGTAATTCTGTTGAATATCTGTGATACATACATACAAGGAAATCTTTTTTTTTTACAGCTTTTGGTTATTCTATTAAGAAGCCAAACTTCAATCAAAATAAAAATATAAATACTCTTGAAAAGATCATACTTAAATATTCATACCACATACTAGCAAATTGTAACTGATATATCTCCAATACTCAGTAGTTCTATGTGTGTATAATGAGGGAAAGATAAAGTTAAAGGGTTAAAGGTTTAACACACATTTTCACAAGGAGTTCCTTCTAAAATATCAGTGAAGATAAGTAATCTGATCTTTTGAATTTAATAGCTCTTTGTACTCAGTTTTAAATGACTAGTTATTTAACAACTAAAGTGATCACACTTTCCGAATTAAAGATGAGAAATTGAAAAAACAAAATTTCCTGTGTGTAAAACTACACTTTGAAAATGTAGCAGAATTATATACTATACAATATTTTGTGAGAAGTTAAAAAAAGCTTAACAAATAATATAGCCCACAATATCTTACATCATATCAACATTAGTGATATACACTCAGGGCAATTCACTGCCTTCATGGAATTAATTTCAAACAAGTTTGTCTAGTGGACTCTTTGTTTGCTGTTAAGCACAAAGCTACACAAGGAACTATCTGTGCTGTGGCCACAATGGGTGTCGAAACCCATTTTTTAGCTTTACAAGGCCACTGACTCACTGCTGAGCTACTGGGAGCAGTGGACTCTTGATGTCATATGATTTACATAATTAATTTTTCATTAAATGTGATGGTAATATGATTAATTCATATTCTAGCAGGACCTGTTGCCAAGATGTGGAAAGCATACACTCGTTTCTCCGACTTTCTCCTGTGCTCCTATAAACACTGTTTTATATAAGAAATTTATAACAAATGTATGATGGAAGTTACTTCCAGTCCAACTGTACATGTTATCATATGAATCACAGTTAAACATTGCAAGTCCTTAGGTCCCTGTTTATGGTAAGGGTAACTGGACAACATGTCCTCTTCAGACAGGACATGTTGTCCAGTTACCATTACCACAGACAGGACAGGTTGTCCAGTTACCATTACCACAGACAAGACATATTTTCCAGTTACCACAGACAGGACATGTTGTCCAGTTACCGTTACCACAAACAGGACATGTTGTCCAGTTACCGTTACCACAAACAGGACATGTTGTCCAGTTACCGTTACCACAGACAGGACATGTTGTCCAGTTACCGTTACCACGTGGTAACGGTAACTGGACGACATGTCCTGTTTGTGGTAACGAATAACTCGACGACATGTCCTGTCTGTGGTAACGGTAACTGGACAACATGTCCTGTCTGTGGTAACTGGACGACACGTCCTGTTTGTGGTAACGGTAACTGGACGACATGTCCTGTTTATGGTAACGGTAACTGGACAACATGTCCCATTTGTGGTAACGGTAACTGGACAACATGTCCTGTTTGTGGTAACGGTAACTGGACAACATGTCCTGTTTGTGGAAACAGTAACTTGATGACATCACTCCATATTCTGGCCCTATTAGTGTTCATCTTAGTAGGAGGGGAGACTTTTTGCCTGCTTGTAGATTAGGTTGGCTGATTTGTCACACTGCAAGTCTGTCAAATCATAGATCCTTAACTAGTGATTCTTGCTGTTGGCCTAGAAAGAAGGATTTACAGATATTCCTATAATAGATTAAATATATATATATTATGTCACATATAAGGACAAAAAATAAAAAAGTTTTTATCTAAATCTAAAATAGAAGTTTTATATCAGCTAGGTACTTCAATACGATCATAACAGTTTGTGATTACTTCACAAACAACAAAAATATTAAATTTAAATATTAATTAATGGTGAGATATCATTAACTGTACAGTGTCAGAGGAAACTTTTGTTTATTTGGAGTTCAGCACAAAATTACACTAAGAAAAAAGAAAGCATATTAGTACCCGAAAAAAAAAGTTTTGATTTTGTTCAAAAAATATGTGATGTGAAGATGTAATAGTTACCAATATTTTATTTTTTACAAGTTCTCAAATAATTTATATATACATTAGTTTTCAATATTAAACAATAAATTTTAAACAGAAACTCCAATATGTATCTTAAGCTTTTTCTTACAATTTGACTGGTCTGTTAAGCCTAAGTACTGTCAACCTTCATTCATAAATATATATTTTCAAATCCAGAAGTTTGTTCATAGAGCTCTCCTCCATCCAATAGTTTTTGTCAAACATTTGAATGTGCTCAGAATAAGACTAGCCAACAGAGAAGAAAACATAAGAAGTCAGAAGGAGGATATCCTCAACCTTATTCAAATCCAAACAAAACGGAAGCAGAAATATCAAGAGGGGTAAAGTCCCCCCCCCAACCACCTTGACAGTTAAACACACTGTCTGGTGCTTCATTACACATGGAATGATAATGTCTTTTCACCCCAACCACCTTGACAGTTAACCACACTGTCTGGTACTTCATTACTAATGGAATAATAGTGTCTTTTCACCCCAACCCAGTTAACCACACTGTCTGGTGCTTCATTACACATGGAATAATAGTGTCTTTTCACCCCAACCCCTTTGACAGTTAACCACACTGTCTGGTGCTTCATTACACATGGAATAATAGTGTCTTTTCACCCCAATCCCTTTGACAGTTAACCGTACTGTCTGGTGCTTCATTACACATGGAATGATAGTGTCTTTTCACCCCAACCACCTTGACAGTTAACCACACTGTCTGGTGCTTCATTACACATGGAATGATAATGTCTTTTCACTCCAACCACCTTGACAGTTAACCACACTGTCTGGTGCTTCATTACACATGGAATAATAGTGTCTTTTCACCCAACCCCTTTGAATAACCCGTTCTTTAGCTTTGCGCTTAACGACAAGCAAATTATTATTCGTCTTCCGGTAGGCTATCAGTAAGTTTACACACCTAAAACGATAAAATCTGGAGTTCGATTTTTTCTGGCAGATAACCAATTGTGTAGC